CATTACAATTTTACAGTTTTAAAGAACAAAATAAGTTTTACATCTTTGGTGCTGCTATAAAACTATCAACTTATCTTTCGCTGGTCCATTTTGACTTTACTGAAGCGAGGATGGCCAGGTGCTTGAAGTGGAGGTCCCAGTTATGAGGGGTGACCTCACATATAGTGGCTTCATAACCAGTTGTAGGCGAAGTTGAACTTAAAGGCGATGGCGCTGCCAAGGCACATGCGTGGGTGAAGTGATAGGCCAAGCAACGCAAAGTCAAAGACTAAGGCAAAAGCAAAGTCAAAGACAAAGGCAAAGGGAAAGAGAAAGGGGTGGCCCCAATCATTTTGTCCTATACGGACACACATTCTACAAAACTCTAGCACATGGTGCTATATGACCTTGTGCTACAGAGAAGAAAATTCTTAGCTCTTGTTCGATCGGCGGCTCAAGTGAAAAAAAAGCGCGAGGAAGATCGCAGATCAGGAACTCCGCATCAAGCGCTCCAAGCGGAAAATTTTCCAAGTAAAAAAGCTAGAGATGGGATTAATGAAATGATAATCGAGAAGTGATTTAATAAATACGATCGGACGGTGAAACCGTTACAAGGTGGCTGTGAAAAATAAAAGCCAAGACAATTGTTTTTATCAATCACAGCTGTCAGAATACGTTTAAAATAGTTTTGGGTGGTTAAGGTTTTCAAAATAGGTAGAGGAAAGGTTATTAGTGAGAAAATTCGGTTACTGGTAGATAAATTTTTTAATTCTGGGAAATCAAACTCAGAAATTGCAGCTTTGTTAGACTTATCGCGGTACAGTGTGAAAAATAGTAATACCACAAATGCCGACCGAAGAGCATTAAGAAGAATAATCGTGAAAAACAGGCGTTCCTATTATTTACAATTAAGTGTTCTGTGGAGTGACGCTGTTTTAAGGAGAATTTCGAGGTTCACAACATATAGAGCATCCATAATGGTCTGGGGCAGTATGTCATCAAAAGGATTAGGAAAACTTCATTTTATTGATGGAAATGTGGATACAAACAAATATTTGGCAATTTTAGAGGAATCGCTTTTACCAATGATGAATGTTCAAGATTTTGTGTTTCAGCAAGATGGTGCAGCGTGCCGTACCGCAAAAAAGGCTACAAAATGGATGGAAGAAAATAATGTACCACTTTTGAAATGGGTTTCTAGCAGTCCAGATCTGTCACCTATTCTACGACAACATCCTGCTCGTACAATCACCGAACTGAGACAAAAGCTTCAAGAAATATGGGATTGCTTTACACCAAATTTTTGCCAACACTTGGATAACACTATGCCCCAAAGAATTTCAGCCGTAATAAAAAATAAAGGTGATGTTACCAATGGTATCTTTCAATTGTTGCTTTGTTAACTTCGCGCATTTATTCGCAGATTATTTATTTGTTCAGATTTTCTATTAGTTATAGGTCTAAGTTATTTCAAACATATATTTTTTACGACCATGGTGTATCTAAAATGTTTTTGAGGAAATAAATTGTTTTAAAAGTAAATAGTTTCGTCATGTTTAGTTCATAAAGGCATATTCTGGTACACATATTGAAGTGGGCCAACTGAAGTGGGAAGGGGCTCGTCGCCTTGACGGATCCTCAGAATCATGTGTTCTTTGTCGATATGGGGAAGTTTGAAATATTTGTAGATGATCAGCTGTCATTCTACCGTAAAGGATACTCGTGAAAACGATAATATACACTGAATGACAAAATAAGGTAAACACCTAGCTATGTTTATTGTAATTCAAGAGTTTTTTACACATCGATTTATCTTGCCACGAACAACAAGTGATAAAATAGTCAGGTTTTTCTGTTAAGCAGTCAGTTGACGAATCAAGCTGAAAATTTAACTCTTTCACTAGTAAGGGACAAAAATTATTGAAATTCGATAAACATAGGTAGGTGTTTACTTTTTTTCACTTAGTATAATCTTTGTACAGAACTTTTTTCACAACTATCGTACAGATGGAGGTTGATTTGTAGCGGGATATCCTATACGAGACATAGATACCATTCGACCGATACATATCATGAACCCGCCGGCCTTGTTGCATATTCAGCCCGAAGGTTTCAACTACATCAGAGTAATGGCATCCAATACGAACACATCGAGAGATGCGAACTGCCGGCGTATGTACATACGCGGCATGCACGGGTAAATGCAACACGCTGAAACTTGCACGTACCGAGCAGGCTCCGGTCGATTCCAGCATGTACCGAGAGTTGACCTATATACATAATACGCGAACGCCCCCAGGAACAGATTTACTGGATATGCCCGCCCGACGGGTACGGGACGCGTCATTGACTGCGCCTTGCTGCCGACATACCATTGAGGGGATACAGGATATTCCAAAAGATGAAAGGATGATGAAATGTGTCAACGAAGACATGAAATCACTACTAATCGCCGTTGCTTCTCAAGGCGGTCCGGAGGACCTTAGCCTTTAGGTCACAGTCACTGTAATGTCAGTGACTGTCGTCAGTCTGTTAGGTCTGGTGTCCCTGGAATCAGACAAGTTGTAGGGGAAATGGGGGAGGGGGAAAGGAAGGAGGAGCGAGAAGAGAAAAAAAAGGAATTGTTTTATGTACTTAAGTGACTTATCGCTAACAAACGCAACTTATTCTTCTCTTTTAATTCCCTTTCGCACTCCTCATCGAACCATTTATTTTTGCTTTTACTCCTTGCTAACATCCTGATACACATTTTTCCATTTTCTCCTTTATCAAATTCCATTTTTCATCCACACTGCACAATTCCTCTATATTTGCTGTCTCTAGCTCTTCATTTAATGTTCTCTTATAACTATTTCTGTCTTCCTGTTTTTCTGATCGTTTTCTGTTTATAACGGTTCTTTTTCCATTGTATCTGATCCTTTGTACAGGTAGTATCGGCCTAAATTTTACTCCCACCATGAAATGGTCACTGTCCGCATCTGATGTCCTGATATTTTTTATACTTCTTACCTCTTCCTTTTGTATCAAGACGTGGTCTATTTGGTTTATAGTTTTGCCATCTGGAGATTTCCAAGTTCCCTTATATTCTGATGTTCTACATAAAGGAGGATACAATTTCCGAAATCTAATTTGGAATTTAATATTCAGTTGTTTAATGTGTGACCGCCAAGTCATACCCTTGTGGAGTGTAAGGCCTAAATATTTGGCTTTGTTAGCCCATGGTATCGAAAGACATGAAAGCACATACCATATAAAAGAAAGACGAATGAGCGACTTTGAAGGTATGTCCTCGGGTATGTCTGGTAGGCAGCCATATATTCTTATATAGTTAGTACGGAGTTCAACCACAGAGTGGCGCTGATGCTGGATTTTCCCGTCATTCTTTTTGAAAGTCCAATGTTCAATGCTTTGACGTTAATGCGTTCGTAATTTTGAATAGAAAGTTGAATTTTGTGCGGCGTCAGCGTTTTTATTAGTTTTGTTTCGGTGATACGATATTGAGAGTTAAGCTGAATTTAAATACAAACTTAATCTTTGTAAGGCAGGCATTATAATACTATAAAAGTTCTTTGATAAAGATATTTTATAAACTACTTTTACAAAAGTTATACATAAAAGAAGTGTTATGGTTGCCAAACAGCCTATTACACTACGTAAAAGATTTTATAAACAAGGGTTGTCCAATAGGGACGCAGGAGAGTAAACGTCAATTTGACATAGACGCCATCTTTGTTTTCTGTCACCGACATGTCATTTTGTTAGTTAAATGTTTACCATTGATCGCTATGGAGTCGTATTCGATTGAAGACCGTATTAAAGTTATTCAAGAGCACTACAAAAATGGTGCAAAAATAAAAAACGCGTTGCGCGCGCTTCGTGAACATTTCGGTCGCAACAACCGCCCAAACGAAACAACCATCGGTCGTCTGGTGCGTAAATTCGAGGCAACAGGTTCTGTGGCAAATCTGCCAGGCTCTGGCCGGCCAAGGAGCGTTCGCACACCGGAAAATATTGCTGTTGTGAAGGAGAGTGTGAGAGACGATCCGAAACAATCAACAAGGCGTCGATCCCAAGAATTGGTCATTTCGAGAACCAGTTTGCTCCGCATTCTCCACAAGGATTTGAATGTACACGCCTACAAGATCCAATTGACGCAAGAGCTGCGTCGGGCTGACCATTTTTCGTGCCGAACGTTCTCAGATTGGCTCCTTGAACACCGCCAAATTGATGCCAATCTTTCATCAAAAATCATGTTCAGCGACGAAGCGCATTTCTCTTTGAATGGGACGGTAAACAAGCAAAACTGCCGCATCTGGGCGTACGAAAATCCCCGTGAGTATCAAGAGCAGCCGATGTATCCTCAAAAAGTGACTTTGTGGTGTGCATTGTGGTCAAAAGGCATCATCGGACCTTACTTTTTCGAAAATGCGGCCGGGGACTCCATTACCGTCAATTCTGAGCGATATCACGTGATGATAGAGGACCATTTTTTGCCGCAACTTGGAGGAATAGATATGGACGATGTTTATTTCCAACAAGACGGTGCAACATGCCACACAACCAACGTCAATATCCATCGATTGCAGTCCTTCTTCGGTGATCGCGTGATTTCGCTCAGAGGAAATGTGCCATGGCCACCAAGATCGTGCGATTTAACTGCCTTGGACTTCTTTTAATGGGGATATTTGAAAGGCAAAGTCTACGTCAACAAACCAGCCACCCTCCAAGAACTCAAAAACAACATCATTGCCGAGATAAATGCCATAGAACCGACCATGTTGCAAAATGTCATTGAAAATTTCGACCATCGCGTGGACGTCTGTAAATCCAGTCGTGGTGAACATTTGAGCGATATTATTTTTCATACATAAATAGTATAAATGAACCTTCAAAATAAAGTACCCAACTTGATTTGAATATCAATCTTTCTTGTTTTAATATGCGTTTACTTTCCTGCGTACGTTTTGGACAACCCCATATATTAGGTAGTGCAAATATAGCTATGGACGACGACATTCAGCTAGCTAGTTTTACTTTGGCAGCCATTGTAGTGGCTTTAACAACGAAATAGAAGCGACTGTGGGTAAGACCGTGGATGGCCTGTAGTGACTTGAAGAGGATCTACAATAACTTGGTCCAACAACTGGCAATGGACGATCAGAGAAGTTATGTTAACTGTTTGAGAACTGACGAGGATGACACATTTACGAAACCCCATCAGCTCTGAGGAGCGGCTCATGGCAACATTGCGATTTCTAGTCACTAGCCTCCAGTACGCTAGATACCATCTGTTTTCCACCATCTTGAAATAACTACGCAAAATCTTTTATCACACATAGGATGAAGAGGCTAAATATGATAAAAGAACTTTAACTTTTTATAAAAGTTGGCCTATTACACTGTCACATTTCATTTCCAACTTCTTTTATCAAATATCTTTGCCGAAGAACTTTTATAGTGTAATGCCGGCCTGATGGAGGCTTATCGAAAGCGGGAATTTAAAAAGTGGGTGGTGCCTGGTTGTATTGATACAATCAGTAAAAGGCATGCATTTCCAAAATATGATGCCGCTCTTCTTAACAGACAGATCGGGCAAGTGCGAAATCTAGTTTTGGACAATAAAAGTCACGAACAAATTTATTAAAGCCATTTGGTGTGTGACTTACATTTTCCGGAATATGATAAAGTACCAGGATCCAAGAGAGGTATGAAAAGAACAGCTGTTTCGAGATAACATCTTCCTGAGCTTCATTCTCCAAGTGAGTAATAACCTTGTTTACATATATAAACGAGGTACATGCACTGTGTAATCAGTGAATAATCAGAATTAAATGAATGAACATTTTGGTGACCTAAACACATTAACAGTATTTACGGTTTCCACACTTTTTGGAAAAATTTACCTAGCATTATAAACATAATGAGATTCTATTCTTTTTCTAGGTATTGTTTCGGAAAATGTTCAGAGTAGTCCGGAAAGTCATGAAGGGAGTAGAGAAATTACTAATTGTATGTTTAATTGCTTATTTGTTCTCAAAAAGATTGTTATTTTATACTTTACATAGGTACCACCACGTGCAGAAAACACATGGATATCAAATATCTCCTTAACCTTACCTTATAAAGAGATAACAAGGGACTGTCATAACAGATGTTTGGCAATGCATGTCTGATAACAGATTAGGTGTTGTTCCAGTTTTCTTATGCACGCGATGGTTCATCGGTAATTTAATTATTTTTAGATTACTAACAACTTGCATAATTGTTATTTTTATGTATTGTATTACGAAAATACAAATTTTAAATATAAAATCAGGTTGAGCTTTATATTACTCAAAATACCTTGTACATAATTTGAATATTTAATAGCTCTACAGTGTAAGAGGGAAGTAAAAGGATGGCGCTAGGTATTCTATGTATATTTTTAAAGGGTTCTATAACAGTTCGTATAGGTCCTATAAAAAGTTCGGAGTATATCCCAGGGATGGCGCTACAATGCTAGTGACAAACCTGAGCATTACAGATTTCCTTATAAAGTAGATGTTATGTGCATGAAATTAAAGTATTCTGATTAGGGTACATTACCTAATTAAGGTGGGTGGGCCATGGAGAGCCAAGTCCTTTGTAATGCCAATTTTATTGAGAGGTCATAGCTACAATCATGCGACCAAAGTACCTTCTACTCACACTATCACCATCGGACTCAGTAATACTAATAGTATAGTAATGTTTATTGGTCTAACAAAATGAACAATGTTTTCGCATTAATAACGTGTCTATACGTTTGTGAGGAAAGCACAAAGTAAAATAGAACATACAAGAGTTATGGATGCCTTCAAACGCCGTGTTAACAATATCTTCATTGTACACTGTTCAACGAATAACTTCTTCAGAGAAGTCTCTAAGCCAACAAAACATTTTCTTTGGAATTGTTCCACAAACATTGATGTCTGTGTGAAATACTCTTTATCTGACAATAGTGATCTAAGATACAGTAGTTTTGAATAGTTGCCATACAGTTAGACTGAATATAAGTAAGTCATCAAAACACGTATTTCCTAGTAGGCACGTTAACTGTAAAATCGATTCAATAGCATTGATACAAATTAATAAACCTACTATTTTTGCCATTGTTCTTACAATTTACAACGCACCATCTATTGTGATCCATTCCGAGATATTTAACCTTTTTACATCACAATGGTTAACAAATTGAATGTGGAATTGTATAAAATATAAAAATTTGACATATTGTAATGATAGTAATAATAAACATATGATACCCACAAAAGTGTACACTTGTGCTTAGGTTTAAACCGAACCTAAATTAAACAAATACAACGAATTTCCTATAAGTATACTAGTCAAACGTATAAATTTGCATCAATTAATTATCAAATACCATATTGATTTTAAATGTCTACAAACTTATGGATTTGTGGCCTTGGTTGATTCAGGATCCATAACTTAAGTCTTTTTACATTTTATATGTTTAAAGAATAATATTATAAAGTATTGAGCATGAAAAGTAAAGCGATCTTTGGCTGATGGTTTTATTTAGTCTAGATATTTCCTCAATAGCATTCAATGATTGTTGCTAATAAAATATAACAATTTTCGATTTTTTGTTAAACATATTATCGTATGATAAAAATATATTTGCCGGCAGTCGAAAAGCTGAAATTCACTGTGAAGATTTTCTGTGGGATACCGTTGCTTTTCGTTCAACATAACCTCCAAAATCCACTTCTGCGTAATTTCATTCTTTTGTAATATCTATAACAATTATTCACGACTCCCCCCCCCCTAAGATTCCATAAGTCAGTAATGATTGAACAAGGGCATCATATACCATGTGTAGATATTTTTCACTTAAAAAACTGATATTTTTGATTTTGGAATTGAGGTATCTTTATTTCCTTCTTCTTTCTGTTAACGTATATATTCCATTTTAGATGGTTATCTATTAATCTCCTAATATTTGAAATTATCAACCGATTGTATACTTTTTCAGCTATTCAACATTTTAATTTGGAGTTGATTAAAGTATGCAGAAGATCTGTTGTTGAAACAAAATGTAACAAGATATGTTTTGTTGAAATTGCCTGTTAAAATCCTTTCCGTGAAAAAATTTGTAAGCTTTAGAAAATCTGATACAATTTTGTTTCTTGAAGTAGTATAATCTTTGTCTGAGTAAATAATTGCCGTATCGTCTGCCGAACTAATAATACCTCCATCGTTTTTAGACTTAAATGGTCATTAACATCCAAATTAGACAGCATTGGCTCTAATACGGTTCCTTGTGGAACTCCGCATCGAACCGTCATATTTTCACTTAGAGTTCAGCCATCGTTCCCTCTCTTCCAAATTAACTTTTCATGAGTTGATAAGTGGCCTCAAGAGGTCCAAATTTTTTTAGGGCTTATAATAACACTACGTATTTGTAAATTGTTGTTAACTGAGTATGTGCATCTTGAGTTGACCTTTTTCCTGAAATCTATGTTGCTGTTCAGATATCAGGTTGTATTTTGCAATAAAAACTAAAAAGCGTCTTCTAAATTTTTTTTCGAAGATTTTTGAAAAGTTTGTTAATCATGAAACTGAGTGATAATTACGAGGTTTCTGTTTATCTCCAGATTTAAATACAGGTTTTGTTATTGCCTTTTTTAATTGGATCCGGAGCATTCCTCTTTCCCAGGTGTTCATCATTCAGATATGCTACGAGTAGTGCTTCGGGAATTTTATAATTTATTTGATTCGGAGTATATGCGGTTATATTATCAAAACCCGGTGATTTCTTAGCTTTCGGCCGCATTATATGTTCAATTTTGTATTGATCGGTCGGTGTCAGATACAGGGAACTTTGCAATAACGTTTTCGTATATATAAGTTGTGTCTATTTTGCCAGATCCTCACCAAACAGAGACTTTGTATCTTGAAGTCAATTTTTCTTATTCTTGTGAATCTTTGATGCCTCAGTCTCAAATACCTACTGTTGCTTATAGACTTACCGCTTCAGTGTGGATGGGATGCACCGAGAACAGAAGTCCAGCAAGGGCGGCGAAAGGCGTCTTCAATCCAGCTACCTGCAGACATACCCTTGTAAAGAGTACGCAAGCACCCATATGCAGTAGCACGTTAGTTACGTGGAACCAAAATGGCTGCATACCAAACATCAGGTAGTTAGCTCTGCAACAAAAGATATAAACATTTACTACTTCCTTCATTTACTCCATTTACTAGCAGCATGTAGATGGCGCCACTAGTAAAGTTACCAAATTTGACGAGCCTGCAAGTTGGCTGTCAATTTACTAATGCCATCATCCATTTCGTTTGTAGCCCACGAAATAGAAATTTCAAAATTGAAGTTGAACACCCGCCATTTTGATTTTGAGAAATTTGCTATACCGATTGCTACTCGGGCTGTCAAATTCAGCTCGTGAAATGAGAATTTCCCGGTAATACTTACTATAGTCTGATATCAAAATTGAAGGCAAAATTGAAAGAAAGCCGCGTCTACCGTTGGTCGGTATGGACGAGAGACCAGCAGTGGCGCGACAGTAAATATTTTAAGCTAGGTTTTCACGGGGCAAGAAGACAGCGAGGAGAGCTTGCGATTTTACTGTCGTGAATCTTGGCCGGAGTGGGGGATGAAATGTGAACCAGCAGCAGTCGTGGACTGTTCACATGGTTCACAATTCAGTTTCAGTTAGTTCATTGGAGCTGACTATGGCGGAACATGTGGTTTAAAGTTGTGAGGTTTTGAGTTCGGTTTTAAATGCGATGGTAGCAAAAAGACTAAGAAAGTTATGTGACCAGATGTGGTTGACTCTAAACTTAAGTTTAGAGAGCACATTACTATATGCCTACAAAAAGCATATTCAATGTTAAAAATAATTTACCCCCATAGACATTACCAATCACAAAATACTAAAGCCACGCTCTGCGAAGCTTTAGTGTTGTCCCACTTCAACTTTGCTGATATGGTATACGGCCCATTTCTTGATAGTGTGGAACTGAAACGGGTTCAAAAAGCTCAGAATTCTTGCCTGAGACTGATATTTGGCATAAGGGGTAGACAAAGAGTATCCCACAAACTACCTGAACTGGGATGGTTGAATATGACCCAGAGGCGTACCTTGCACTCTACTTCCTTTTTCTACAAGGTTATTAAATATAAAAGCCCTCCTTATCTTCGCTTAAAAGTTAGTTACCGGACTGATGTACACAATCTAAACATTAGAGGATTGAATTTGATTACAATACCATCACACAATAAAGAATCATTTAAAAACTCATTCTCGTATCAAAGTGCCTTTTTGGTAAGTAAATTCAAAGT